AGACAGTAAGTAGTGACAAGACATCTACTTTAGGAGCATAATCGTTCCTTGAACTATCCAGCCGGCCAACTGCTATCTCCTGATCTTGAACAAAATATCGTGAAGCAACGTAACTTATTAACGACCTTCAAGTGGGCAATAATCTATTCGTTCGTCGGAGCAATATCCAGGAAGCTTCTACCGAGACAACGTTGCTCAACAAGCAGTAGCTTTTCGGCTTGCCTACCAGAAAAGCGGCCAACAGCGGCCTGCTCCGAATCACACGCCGTAGTGGAAGTTTGAGTGCCCTCAAACGAACTTGATGGCGGCGGGGGTTGATATTGTTGCTACGATGACAACCTGGCTGAGATAGTAGATATTAAATAAATTCCATCGTAGATAGTGAGTAAACGACGGCCGGTAACCGATTTCCCTAGCTTCGTAATCCTTACTCTGATGTCGTTCGCTTCGCATGCTAAAAATAAATAAATACTCCGTTCTTCTTAACGTTCGAAAGTTCCATACTTTAGACGGCTGATTACCCCAGTACGGGTATTATATTTACGACCAGTATCTAACATAGAGTTTCCATACGTTCCTAACGTTCGTGAACAGTTACCATGCAGGTTTTCCTTTCTCGTGATAACATCAATGTAAAGTATTCTTCACACACGATTCATAATGCAACGCAGCTCAGGCAGCGTCAGATGCTTGAAATTCATGTATTGCCGCCACTCCGTCAGGCCGATCTGTAAGTGTATGTACATACGGTTTGTAGGTAAATCACTGCACGCGGTTAGGATTATCAGAATGGGTGACAGTTTATGTCAGCTCATTTCGGTGGTTCTAGGACGGGCCAAATGTGAAATTGCACCTATCAACCTCAAACAAAAAGCGACATATCGCACTGATCTCACGTACAAGCTCACCTGCGGGAAAAGATTGTATTGGACTCGAGAATCACGCAGTACAATGTTTGGAAGGAGCGCCAAAGATACAATAGGTAGACGGATCTCTATACAGATGACTAAATATACTGCTGTAGGAGAGAAACTAAATTGGTCGATAGTACAGTTGAGCGGTGATACCTCAGACACAACTATACGGTTACCTTTCTGTACAGGAGCTGCATTTCGTCCTGCGAGGTCTTCTATCGGTGCACTCCATAACCTCATCTTCCTATTACATCTGCCTTGGACTCGTGCGCGTATCCTTATTCCGACTATTGGGCATGCGTGGATAAAGCTCGTAATGGCTACTACTCTAGCTCTTGTCCTCGGCAGCTCCGTAAAGCTAGCAGCGATGGGTTTATAGGAGGAGACAACTCGTATTAGCAGGTAGAATTCAATTTGCTAGTGGAGGAGGTTGGTTGTCGGCGCTACGAACTGCCGCCAAGCCGAGAGTGAGGTAAAGACAAAGGTTCAAGACGACGACTGTTTTACCATAGACCAAAGAAAAAGAGTCCAAGGGCGAGTGCAGACAGAGAAGATGAGGGAGAGAAACAGAAGACGAAACGTCTTATGCGGTTTAAGTATCGAGAAGCTGGGTAGAATAGGTGAACCCGTTACGCGTTCGTTAAAAAGAAGCGACAAGAAAAAAAGAAAGCCGCTGCTGTCGGTCTGGGGAATTTTTCATTCGGTTGCTGGAGCAGAAGAAAAGAGGAAAGGATAAACGACAAAAATCAGGGAAAGGAGGGCATTAGCTGGGTTCGTTTCGTCTATCTTCACGGTGGAAAGCGCTGTTGTGCTGGGGAGGGCTATCAGTTGGAACGAGAAGTGGGACTGCTATGGACGGCACATCGGTTAGAGAAGAGACAAAGAAAATAAGAACGAAAGGCGCAACGCAGAGATGAGAGCAAAAAGGGGAAATATACGAGAAACAGGAACGTGCCCAGGAACTTTGCGGCCATCCGGGCCTCAGAACTAGGTGCAGATAAAGGGGCGAATCGAAACATCACGCTATTGTATTTCACCTCAGCAGAGGTTAGGCTGGGAAAATAAGGTGGTATTAAGAAGAAGAACATCGGGCGGAAAAGTGTCGAACTCATTGAAGCTGTGCTGGCCAGCAAGATTATTTCAATATCAAATGAGTCGAATCTAACGGCCGATGCCGTTATCGCCGTGACATTGGATTTAATCTGTCACGAAAGGACTACTAGGGAATAGCTTACAACTAAATTTAAAGATAATGTATACGGTCTAGCCACGAAAATAGGAACAACTACTTGGATTTACATTTTGCTAACGAAATCATTATTAGGCTTAGATCAGTCATCAACACACGCGAGCGTCTATACAACATCGGTAGATGCTATTGGATGATAAAATTAATTTTAGTAAAATCCCTAATTACCAAAAACAAAGTAGTCGATACGCTAAGTAAGCTACGTGTATGCCGATGTGTGTAGGGGTCTCGTACGAGCAGTACGTAGTACATTGGTAGCATCAGAGAAACGAAGCGTGGTTGAAAAGTCAAATAGAGCGGGGTACCACTAGGCCTCGTCCGAGTGAACAGAATGCTACAGCGTTCCTGTACAATTACGAGCTTTGCACATACACGGAACGAATTCATCTAGAGTAGTCAAACAGTATGCTCTGAAGTCATCGATCGGCAGTGGAATAAGTAAGCGATTGATCCCTGTTGCGGATGCTTGTGTCCGTGTCGCTTAATGTATAGGGCATTTGGAAGCACGTTTAAAAGCAATAAGCACCCACTTAATTGATTTGATAAGAGAGCTTTGCTGCCACGTCACAGTTAGCTGGAGTGTTTGTATCAGTGATATAATGATGACAATTGACCACCTAATGAGAGTTAGCCAAAATGATATGACGAGACGTAGAACCTATTCGGAGGCGTGCAGTTATTGTAAAACCTTACTGTAGAGACCACTTGTTACGCTGTCACTCTTAAGGAAAAACTGTTTATTGATATCTTCTGTTTGCTGAAGCTCATCATTTAAATCACTGTGATTTTACGAGAATTTCAAACCCCCAGCGACATCTGTGAATGATCGCATTTCGTAACTAATGCTCAAAGCTCGTAGTAATTCAGTGTTAAAGTTATTCTAAAATGTTAGATTTCATTATTTCTTTCAGTCATTAATGTTTATTTACATGTATATAGATGTGTGCAGCGACAGTTAACTTTTCGAAATTATGTAGCAGTAGCCATTTGCTGCTAAGGTGGCATGACTTGACAACTCCGAAGCAAAAACCTGCCGAGCCCAAAAGATTTTGCTTGTGTCAGCTCTACGTGCTATTATCTTCTTATGAGTTAAAAGTCATTTCCCTATGTTAACTAAGCCAAAAATCCTCTTTGCCTTCCAACGAAACCTCCTTTTTCTAGCCTTTCTCTTTTTGCGTTATAGGGAGGCATCCTAAGAAACGACTACATATTTACTTCGACTCATTCACCGTTCGGCCCGTTCTATTATTTGCTATAATAGAATCAGCAAAGGGTGGCAACAGGTCAATACGTGACAAATCCGTTGGTCAAAAACAAGTAAATAAGGGCTCCAACAGAGGAAAGGTTTCTTTCGCTTCTGTTGGGCTCGAATAAAATATAGAGAATTGTCGACAAGCCACAGCCAAACCGAAAAGACTAACGTTGGCGCTCATAGCAGCAGCCTCGTAACAGTGGGTCCTTCCGTGGCTGGTCCTACCTGTGTGCTAGCACTGCGAACGCTATGTAGAGGTGGCTGTTGCGATGGCCGAGGGAACGACTGCAGGCGTGGCACGCAAATTGAAACCTCGTTCTGAGCGACAAGCCCTTCTAGCCAGACGTGACACCCAGACATCCCTACGGTACCTTCCATTTCGTAGCCCCTCGTCCAAACTAAATGTCTGCCAATCTCCTTCGCGACTCTTTCCTACAATCCTATTGCCGCAGCGGCCTGCTAATCAGCTCGATCGGTTGGCCGACTGGCGGGCCGGTCACACTCCACGCAGCAGGTTTCATTTCATTCTGGATCTTTGGACACCTCGACCTTTTCGACCGGCAGCAGTAGCAGCAGGTGGGACAGCAGTATGATCACACTTTGGTTCTTCTATCACCACTTCGGTTTGGAGAGGATCAGATATCCTCTTTTAATTCGAATATAAAATACAGGGGCTTCTCGAGAAAGACAGGAGAACGTAGGCGCTGGAGGAGATACAGAGCCTTTTCCTACAATAGAGCGCGCGATAGAATAAGGGAGAAAGAACACAGCACATCAACAACGAACGGTGTAGTACAGGACACGCAAATGGAAACGCGCAACACCAGTACCTTCTTTGCCACCATTATAATGATGATCATTATCATGGCTGACAGCTGTTTTTGCTATTGCCGTGTCTGATCCTGGCCTTACTGATGATAATGACTACCTAAGTGTATGTACGCCTTTATGTATATATGTGTGTCTCTGTACTTGGTCTATCTAAGTAGGTATTGTTGATGATGGTTGGCCTCTGTACAGCGAGCTAGCTATGTGGCTGGGGCATAAAAGGGGGCAGGAAGCCTCGTCCCGTGTCGTTGCTGTAGGTGATAGTGGTTGTGAATGGGAAAAAAGACAAATAGAGAAAAGGAGAAAGTGACGTACGTGCCACCAGCTGGACAAACATCGCCCCACGTTTCCCCATAGCCTTCCTGAATAGGGCTAAATCTAGTCAGGTCCTGGGCTAGAGTCACTATTGATGGTTCTATATTGGCTATAGAAGCAGTCGTGGTGATTGGTGACACTTGATGTAACAGAAGAGAGGAAGAAAGAAACGCGGACTTGTATACTGTCTTTGCACCACAAAGTGCCTCGGGCTATTTTGTTAGTTTCGTTTGTTAACCCTAACGAGAATGTCAGTGACGACTTTTTAGCATACTTGGCGGATGCTTTTAGGCGCTCTTGATTTTCGTACGGGTGTTTTTTGCGTTGACGTTTGTCTATCTTTAATATGGCTTTATTTTATGAATATGAGGAAAACGATTTTTTTTAGAAATACAATTACATAGTCAACTATATTGAAACCGGTGTTCACTTTTGTTTTCAGGCGGTGGTTATAATCAGGGTTTATCCGGTCATGGCCACCAATCGGTGGGTAACGACGCAGGGGACTATACAGAGGATGGAGAAGTAATCCCACAGTTTGCAGAGCCTGTGCAGAATATTACTGTGCCAAGAGGCCGCGACGCAAAAATAGCCTGCATTATTGACAACCTTGGTGACTTTCGGGTAAGTTAGTGGTTCACAAAATTTTGTAAACATCCAAGTTATCCCGTTCTCTGTAAGTTATTTACGGCCGGCCGCATTGCAAATTCTTATTCCGTGTTTAAATCATAGATATAATTTATGATGGGTTTGATTCCATCGTAGAAAAGATACTGTTATTAGCATGAGCGGGTAATTCAACCCAATAGATATACATTAAACGAATCGGTATGAGGTCTCAAAGCGGGACCCTAACGCTTTTTCATCGAGATATTGACGAGTAAGCGTGTGCGTTCACATGATGAGTTAAGTGCGGATGGAGGTGCTCACGCAATTTAGTTAATTAGTTTATTTTATTTATCTTTTAACTCGTTTGCTTCTACTGATTATAGACTTAGCAACTTTGTAAGGGACTGGCCTGGTCAGCGTTGAGCGTACGATCGAGAAGAGGTCTTTATGTATTTTTCGGACGTGTTCATTATTTTACTTAACGAGTCTGGCGCTTTCGGCTTCCTCGCTTTTCAATCGTGTTCTCGTCATCTATATAATGTTGCCGCATTGCAATAAGAACAATGACGATAACCAATGATTTAAAACGATAACGCTCATACGGCACATGTGCAGCGACCGTCCATACTCCTAATGGCAGATACACACAAAATCACATTTTTACATGCACAACATCCAAGCGGCCGTTTTCGTTGATCGATCATCACCCCCGACGTCGTGGGTAAGATTTGAACGCTACTACTGCACAATTACACACCCAGTCTAACGAATTTTCTAAAATTGCTCCTTCGGTACCGCCTCTTCGATCGTCCGGATCGATCTCGGCTCGTCCGACTGGCCGTCGACGTGTAACAGCCCGCCTGGATTAAGGAAGAAGACAAAGCCATCCTTACTATGCACCAGCAGATTATCAGCCGCAACTATAGGATCAGCTTGTCGACGTCTGACAATCGAATATTTACCTTACACATCCGAAACGTTCAGGAGAGCGATCGGGGCGGTTATATGTGCCAGATTAATACCTCACCCGTCAAAAGCTCTACAGGATACCTGGACGTTTTGGGTAAGTACCCTATCAAACGAAGTCTTTATCAACAGGGCAACAGAAGTGTTTTTGATTCAATGCAAACACAATGAATGTCAACGATCTAACTAATGATGCGGCGTTGCACAAACTTACGATGATTAAACGTCAATCGATTTTGATTCTGTTATTACTGAAACTCGAATCGCGAGACAAAACACGTTGCAGAAAGGATGTCCCGTAATTTGTCGGTGCATCCTGACATACCTATCAGGCAAAACCGTGTTTTTTTTTTAACTCTAGTAATATGCCAACGTATATATGTACATGGTCACCCGGAGAAATCATTTTTTATTATCGATGACTGTAGTTTTTTTTACATTTGGACTGGTCGAGATTTTGTTGTCTATGAATTGTGGAGCGGAAACCACCTACATCAAGCGCTCATATCGTAGTGTACATCTGCTCGGGACTCGCCATGGCAGCAAAGGTCGGTCAGGGCGCTTCCGTAAAAACGTCCTTTCAAAACCTAAGGGAACAGCAAGTCTAACCTAATCATTTGAACAATCAGAGCAAAGTACGGCGTAGATTCTGCATCGGATCATGTGCCAGTGTACATCTATTTTACTCTAACTAAGCATCGCAACCGGAACGCAGCATGGGGAAAAGCATCGTAGAAATGACAGCCGGTGTATGGATGACAGGTAATGCAATCAGAACACTGATGATAGATACGTAAAGAAACGTTTTATCGTCAAATAGTTAAATAGCGCCTAACATCTGATGAGATGGCGCCGATGTAACACGTACTCATCTGTAACGAACGAATCTGTACCTGGATGGAGAATGTTCGAGTATGTACCAAGATTAATGCTCATAATTCGGTGCAGGGTCTTCCGAGCTGTCCAAGGTTGTTACGCGATTGCCAGCCTTACACAATGCTTCTTCCTAACTATGTAGCTTTATAGTTAGCCTGATAACCTTATATTGAGTTTTACTTATACAATTTTATAACGGTATGTAAATTAAGTCTAAATCATTCTTACGGAAGCAGCCTTAGACTGACCCTGCCACGCTGACGGTTGGACCCCCTCACATCCCCAACGGAGCCGTACCTGTGGGGTCTCTTTGCCACCGCCGAGGGCTTGCTCTGTTTATCCGTAATATTAATGTAAATTATAACAACAGCGGCAGCAAAACAGCTACTGCAACTGCTTTTACAGAAGTTCAGAGGAAAAATTCTTTTTATAGTTGCAACCTTCAGACTCATCACTAGTGCAGAATCTACTTTTTGCCAAATTCTCAGCACCTATGCCCGCGCAAACTGACTAAGAAACTGTCTCTAGTTGTCTGTTCGTTCTCGCTGTTATTTTTGTAGGTGTATTTTTATAGTTATTGTTACCATTTACATTTTTATTCCCTGATATATTATTATTTTTGAGATTATGTATCGATCTATATATATATATATATATATATTAGATAGATTATGTGTATATATATGCACACATAATTTATCTAATATTTAATAGTAGTATATATTGGCCGACTGGGCATGGTCCGCATCGTCACGGGTCAACGGTAATAAACAAGAAACAGGCAAGCTGATCAATAAATTCTTAGTGATTTCATTGTCGTATACTTCAAATTAGTGAAATATTTCTCGTTAACCTTAGCGTCTATCTTATCTACCTACACATATGAATCTCTACACTCTATCTTATCTTTCATTCTATTTAACCCTAATATTTTACCCTTATTGGTCTTTTGCATCGTCGAATAGTTGCATTGACGCTAGTTAAGTAATCGGCTCACCCTAAGACACTTCATTTTTTACTAATTTGTACCTAAGTCTAGTTTTTCTGGCCAGAAAATAATAGCTATGACGTGATCGAGTTGAATTCACCTTCTCCTTCTCCACCCTATTTTTCTTTCTCTATAAATTTTTTGAACATCTGTTCCGGTAGCGTATGACACTAGATTTGTATCTGCTTATACAGACGCTTAACGTTGCTAACACCCTCATTTGTAACTACCGAAGTCATTTCACGATATTGGCTCCTCCCGACAAGTAGTCGTTTTATGTTTTCGACCGTTAAGCATTACTTTAGACGGCTCGCCACCTTCACGTACGCAGCGAGGTGCGTCGACGCCGGATTTCGGGAATAAACTACCCCACACATCCCCAAGTATATATTCTATAATACTATAATTACTGACATCACAGTCTACGGCACTGACAATGTTACCGGTCTTTTTTTTTTATTATTTTTTGTATAGCTATCTATAGATATGATGAATCAATGTTTTTTTTTTTTTTTTTATATTTGAAAATGCGTTGCTATCTTATCTACTCTATCAGCACTGTTCTTCCGCTGTCGAGGCGACACCAACAATCTAACCAAGCAGTAATCGCTTTCCACTGTATTATTCTTCATTCATCATGTAATCGTAATTAGTCTGTATACAATCGTATACAGATCGACGGCTATTACCACTATCGATAATCTATTGCCACCATTAATTATACTGCGTCCTACTGCCGCGCCCACAACAATGCAATACGGAGCATCTATTTCCTTCACCGAGCCTTTTCGTCCTTAGAACCGACCAACCATCCGAGCTATTTTTTCTCTTCATTTCGGTCTATACACAACAGCATTGGCCTTCCATCTAACAAGCCTTCTAAACCTGTATCCAACTGACGACTATAACGCTTCTTATAGAAACCCTAAACTTGCGAATTCCACCGAGTTTCCACTGACCCTTTCCAGGCCTCTATATCCAGCAAGCTAGAGAGTATCAATATCGATCCGTCGAGTTACAAAGGCGACGAAACAGCGGGGAGCTACGACCAACACGGTATATAACGAGTATATATCGTGGCAGACTCAGGCAGCCTTTTCCGCTTCTTACTTTCTCTTTTCATCTATCTTTCTATAAGGACACAAGCAGCCGAAAAGTCTATCGAAGATCGACCTGTCTGCTACAGCCAAAAATACTCGTTTTAACTATATTCACTTCATATTCCCGGACAGTTCTTTTGCCCCTGCCCATTATCCTTTTATCCGTCCCACCCCAAAAATATCCTTTCCCATTTCCGCTATACGGCTACTGCCGCACAGTCCGCCATCTTTCAAATACAACAGCGATAACAAGCACCACTATAAAAACTACAACAGCCACCATTACTACTTATTAGCATTGAGAGGTATGAGTGTGAAGTGTGCGTGATTGACATAAATTTCTTTTTAACACAAAAATATGTTTTTTCTGTCTTTATATAAATGTAATATGATAATATATATTTTACGAGTTCAACATTCACCCATCAGTCGATCAATTAATCAGCTGACCACGATGTTCGCTCAATCATCATCATCATCATCATCATCACCAACAACAGCATTGGCTTCATAATCAGTCCATCATCATCATCATCATCATCGTCATCGTCGTCGTCGTCGTCGTCGTCGTCGTCAACAACAACATACAGGACATACTCATCTCCATTACTAATGCCATTCTCATGAACCTCATCAATCGGTCAATAGCCGATCATCTCTAACCCATCCCGCGCATAGTAAGGTCTCTTCAAACCCCAAGGGAGGGCTAAGCCGTCCGACATAACCTCGTTTTAACCCTCAACAACAAAAGGGTTTTGCTCCGATTCCTTCTTCCCGCTAAGACTGACACAGCCTGACATGTTTCTCCCCAGCCTAACCGACTGAGTCCCGACCCGCTGCCCGCCCTGTCTATCTTCTGACAGTGACTTTGTCCCGTTGACCTCTCTACCCGGCTACCCACTCATCTTTCGTAACCAGTCGCGCACCATCGGACGTCTGACTCACGATTAGCGTACAGTGGAGTAACTAATGCTTTTAACCTCTCTCTCCCCCCTTACATATATATAATTTCTTTGCCCACTTTTTCAATAGTTTTTTTTTTTTTTATCAATTTCTGTCAGTATCTAGGTAACTCTTACCCCTCTTTTTACGTCGATCTCCGGTCCATTTTATAGCAGCCTCCTAACGCATTTTATATCTTAGCATTACTTGGCCCCCTTACATATATCTGTCTACTCTAGTCTGGTTCTCTTGACTGCGTGCTGCCCTGTAACGTTTGTTCTGCTAACGAGACAGGGATTATTAATTGTCTTTTGCTTTGATCCTCACTCTACCATTATCTGTGTATAATATAACATGCGGAGCACTGACCCTTTATTCGTTATGTTGGTGGTGTCCCTTTTTCATTTTTGGAGACACAGAAATGCTCTGCGAGATGTAACCTATTTTGTCTGGCTTTCTATCGCGTTATCTCAGACAGAAATCTGTTTCCTCTCTAGTTCTTCGGCCCTTTAACTTCCCGCTTTGCCCTTCGCTGCCCCAGCCCTTACCACGGGACTTCTATTGATGAGCCCATATAGATATAAACATGTTATTTCGCTTTACATAAGAATCGTTGCTCTTGCCTGTCTTTGCACCTTTTTTTTTCCTAAATATCGATTGAAATTACATTGCAAACGTCTATCTTCCAAGTATTTATAATAGAGCGATATAGGTTTGGTTGTGATCGTTTCTGATACTTTTTCTTCCATCTCGAAATCTGTAGTGATTCTAGCTATCTTTACCGCTGTTGCAAATTATTTTTAATGTATAACTTGTTATGATACTACGATTGTTGTTTTTGTTATTCTTGTGATTGTTATTATATCAATATTGCTCGTGTTGCAGATGTATTGTTTATTGGTAAGCATTTGGTCTAACTCTCTAACCAGAATTTTGATCTGTAATAGCAGCCAATTGGTTGAATTCGGACGAGGACAGCCGCAAGCATCGAACTATGTCAAAATACTACTACTTATTATACCAAATTACTAAAGAAAGAAACGATTTTCACTAAACAACTATAATCATTAGATTATAATTATTGTGTAATTTGACTGTTAAAAGCGTAACGTTGATATAATTTTTGATTAAATGAAGCACTGAAGAATTTTTAAAAAAATCCTACTCTCTTATTTCACTCCACGTTTACAATTGAAATACCGCTCGTCATTTTTGAAGCTTCACGTAAATGTATAATGTGATAGATACAGATGAAGATAATTGCCTATAGTTTCAAAGGACAAGCAAATCCAGACATTCAGAGATACCGAAAGAGACGACGCGCACATACGCAGTTGAATACAACGAAATGAACTGCGTATGAATGTAGAAAGCAAGAAACTAGTCGATGTAAATTAAGTGTGTTTAGGCTCTATATGAGAGGGAACTCTTGTGGCCTCTTCTATGAAGGCTTAAAAGTGCATAACAAGCACATCTGCTAGAAGTGTTCACCCCAAGCCGTTAATAATGAGCTCCTTCCGAAGTTTTCCTTAGGCCAATAAAGGGAACATCGTCCGAGAAATACAAAAAAAATCTACCACCTCTACAATTTCATATAATGAAACAAACTTATTATACTTTCCATATACTGTGCTACGTGCACAAATCTCTAATAGGTAACGTTTCTAGATAAATCTATCCACGTTGGCCTATTGTATCATCTTGTTCTTCTTTAGCTCATTTTGAGCTTAGTCTATAGTCATGTTTAAGAAACGAGTTTGGTAAGATTCTGTATCGTACGGCCCTCAATTCATTTTACGAAACCCACGGCATATACCTACAGATATGTCAATCAGTACCTAAACGGTTTCAGTCTCTTCAAAAACATTTGTTGACTGTCTTATTATCCTTTGTCCCATTGTTCTATGCTCTATGCCACTGTACCCTATCGCGTAACGATCTTCTTAACCTACGTGTCGAACGTTTGTTAACGCCGTTTTATCACTTGACACAATGACTCAATGTATCGCCCTGCAATCTTGGACAATTTATGGCCTGTTTATTATAACGACTTGGTTGACCTGCGGCGCCATATGTGGCGTTGTGTATTTTCGTACGCGGTATGTTTGTCTCATCCAAATGTTTTTGGCACCGCTCTGCCTGTTTCGCTTTTGTCATTTGTTATTCTGGCTTATATATTGCGCCAAAAGTCCCACCAGATATTTTGGTGGAACAATCATCAGCAGACGTTGTCGTCCGTGAGGGAGCAGATGTGTCGTTGGCTTGCAAAGCGCGTGGTTATCCTACGCCATCGATATCGTGGCGTCGGGAAGACGGTGAGCCAATCCCTCTTGGAGCGTATAAACAACTTACTCAACAGCAGCAGGCCGCCAACAACAAACTTCATACGTTAGGTGAGTGTTTTTGCATACGTATTTAGATCTAGTAGGTAATGCTAATAGTGTAAGAGATATATATATATATGAGCACTATAGAGACCAGGTCGTATAGTAATACATTTTTTGTAGGTTCCTAACGACAAGAAGCAGTGTCCTTTTTTCCATGTAGAAATGAGTTGCATAAGTAACCATGATAGGTACTGATAGAGAGACTCACCTGTTGCACTTAGCTCAAACGCCGTCAAAGTAGAGTAGTTAGTGAGATAGTTTATTTATAGCTCGTATATACATATATATATATATATATATATATATATATATATATATATATAGAATAATAAAGTTCTTAAAAAAATGTTCTATTTTGGCATAAATACGCATATTTGTATTCCGGGAATAGAACTGCATCGTTTGTTATGGCATACCGTTGTATTGTGCTGTATAATATATGAATACAAATTTATATATTTAGGTTAAAGATGTGCACTTCTCAATAGGCTAACACTGCAATGCGCATCTAGTTACCTGTTATTAATCTCAGGTAAATTTTCTATAATTCAAACGCTTACATCGCACCCCCGGCGTTTGCATGAAGGCGGCCGCCGAGCTCGATTTTAGGCCTCAACGATTTGTCAGGGGATAAATGGGTCCAAAAGGAGAATAGGCTATAAAAATTAACCCTGGAAGAGGCAAAAATGGTGTCGGTCGAACCCCATAAAATGGTCTGGTTGCTTCAAGATCATCACATTATTCTTCTCAGCTTAAGTGGCTAAGAGAGCAACCTAACCCGACGAAAATTATTCGACATTCGAATAGTAAAGGCTTTATTTAGACAAGGGTGTCTTTACCGATCTGTGGTATGCTGTGAAAATTTTTCGCTCGGAATAGGCGAGTCCTCAATAGCCAACACTTGTGGCTTTCCTCTTTAAGCAAAAGTGTACATTGAATGTCTGAGAAAACAGCTAAAGGTGTGCTTTAATAGTCATAATCAACGCAGCTACTCGACTGCGGCAAGGGTTGTGATGCACGTACTGTTGCAAATGACTCGACGCAAAAATAAGAGAGAATCAATTGGTTTTGGTAAGCCTAAACATTAGTTGCGCCATGACAAGATGAAGCGTCTCGTAGTTAAGAGATAAGTACATCATACAGCAGAAATGTCTATATGCTATCATTTTGTGTTTAGCATTTAACTCTGCTTCCTCTAGTCTGGTACGCTTAATTGTCGCGTGGCAGTGTACAATAAAAGATAAGATCAAGGCAAAAAAAAAAACACACGTGTATGGTATACTAAATGCATTAAGAGAAATTAGTGTGCTATCATCCTTTTGTTATGGACAAGGTCCCAGCATCCACAAAACGGTTCTATTCGCTTGAAAAGTTAAGCTATTCGTGCAATATTGGGTGTGGAGTAAATTTTTTAAATGTCAGAGCTTAGCTTTTCAAAGGAAGATATTGTAGGAACATTGGCACGTTGAGTAGAGCGCCTTCTCAGTCAGCTTGCATGCCAGGTGCATTTAAGTGTTTCGAGCATTGCGTCCGGAATTCTATTAGAACGGCGTAAGGACACGAGGGACAATTTCACATCGGTGACTTTATGGTTTCTACTAGAAATACTTCATTATTTCGTACACGGATTTCCTTATATAAGTAACGCTGGCGAAAGAAGGATGCCATTTGAATCGTGCGGTGATGTCAATTGTAAAAGACACGCCACCCAGGATTACAACTAACCTAGATGCTCCAGAGGCAGCGGATGGTGATTTCCCTCAAAGCCTCGTGAACAGGACAACTCAGCGAAGATCACCAAACCGCACGCACCCACTCCCTAGAGGCTGCTTCTTGGGTGATAAGTACTCATTCTGAGTCTACATCCTCTTAACCGCGGTCAGCTTGCCCTTGATGGATGTTCCCGGGGGGTTTGCGCCTTGCCTTGCAGCGCTATCGCAGCCTCTCCCACGATTCCTTTTTTTGCGTCTTCTGGACTTCTACCGCCTTCCTCAGAGCCGCTGCCATTCCCTTTGCCATTGCGGTACCAGCACCATCAACGCATCCTAACCTCTCGATTTTCCTGTTTCTTCCGCGTCGACCGCCTGGCCGGTCAGGGCAGAGGACCGACAAACCAAACGTTCCTAGTTTTCTCAGTTACCCCTTGCCCTTGGAGCTTGGTTGCTTTTGCAGGCTTGTTTAAGGCCTTTCGACCTGCCGCTAGCCGAACAAGCTGCTGCTACCGTCAGCGCCACTCTTTTAAAGGTGTTCCTTGCCTCTGCATCCTTGGTCGGTTCCGACAGCCGCTGCTGCCTCAATTGCGGTTAAAGCACAGAGAGCTAATTAGCTGGCGTCTGCTCTCCCTACTGTTCGTTCGACTCACATTTTCTGTCCACCGATGCGCATCGTTTTCTTTACCCTTTTTCATGGGATTTTGGTCTTTCGTCCCATCCCTTAAAATTTTCAGCTGGGGCCAGTCAAGGCTAGGACGCGAGCTACAGACGCCTTAATCTTCTTCTGTAACGAATGCCTCTCGGCAGGTTCTTTCTACTGACACAGCTTCTTCTCACGTAACTCTTTCTTCTTTCTTGTCCTCTTCTCATCATCTTGTCCTATAGAAAGGAGGCGTAGGTCTGTGGGTCGACCAGCGGATAGCAGCCACCGGGAGGTTGGTTTCTGGGCTGCTATTTCAGTAGTCGACACTTCTAGGTGTCCTATGAGAAGGCAACGCAGAGCACCACCATCGCTTCTTAGACGTCTCCCTTTACTGCGCGCTTTTGGCTGAAGCTGCGTTTGCGTTGGGCATTGTGAGCTGAAAACGGCAGGCGCTTTTTCCGCGCATCCGCACTCTCCTCTGTCAGAGTATCTCTTGAGGCGAAGCTAACGCCTAGGAAAAGCGAGAAAAAAGTGGAAGGATATGAGAAGCCGCTAGCCAGCGAGTCAACCAAGAATCCTTTTGGCTAAGGCCTTTGACATGCGTGCCTCATCGGAGTAGTGACCTCGCCTGAAGGAACGTTGTTTGCTGGGCATCATTCCAAGCAGCACGCAACAGCTAACCAACCAGCGAGGCCGAACGTACTGTGAGTAATGTTAGATAGGAGTCGGCTTAGAGCAATGTACGTCAGTGCCCGTGTAAGCTTTCTTGTACGTGTGTGCACCGGCGCTGCTCTGTACAGTGGTGTGAAAATTGCGTATATGGAGCAAATCGCTCGCGTCAGCGATAGTATATATGAGTTTATCTTGCCCCTTTTGACGAAACACATCAGCAAACTTTTTTAGCTGAAAGGGATCTCTCGTGCAGCCCGTCTTAACCAATAGCTTCCGCTCAGCGCTTTACAAAAGGATGAGTCCTCGCAAATGGACCCACTGATAGGTTTTTACTAGTTTTCGTCGAGAAGTTTCGATAAAGTTATATTTATTCTTATTAATTTATTATTATTCTTGTGAATATAATTTCCCTCAAATATATTTCCAGTATAATTACTAATAGATACGAAAACGAAGGAAGCGATCTAGTTATATATATATGTAAACCAACTGTTTTCTTTGTACTTATATGCACAACAACCCAATGAGTTACTGCATTGGAATCAATACTTGTACAGTATTTTACTATGACGTTATGTAAATCTGCACAACTGACAGACAAGCTCTGCTAGTTTTATAATGACCTCTTTCTTATCCTGTTAGGCCTCCTTTACTAGACGACTTTGTTTAGGATCGGATTGATTCACACCTTTAATTCTACTGAAGCATTGGTCTGCACATAAAATATTAATAGTAGCTTTGATCCTGTGTGAACTAGCATTTCTATTAAAAAGTTTCCAAATAGAAACTATTAACTATTACCCTATATGTGGTCATAGTTGTTGCAGTCGTCACTTGGCGGCTCACATCGGCGGCTTATCGCCTACTCAGACAGATGTGTTTCTTCATCCGTCAAAAATTAATCGTTTATACGGCACGAAGACATCTATACCTCAACCAAATCTAATCCTTACAAAGCTGGGTAGAGAAGTATTAGTAGAAGTCTGACAATCCCGCCACTAGTGGTTGCCCTTCATCCGATCTCAATAGCGACGGGTCCGTTCAGAACATAATCTATGGGAAGAAAGATACAGAAAACGACTTCGGTCAATGAGTTTCCACATCTAGTTATTCTTGTCTATTCTCTCTATCCAGCTGGCGCTTAAAATTCGTTTCTTACTTCTTTGAGGCTAAGAGGCTACATAGCATAACACTGATGCTAAGATAAGCTGTTATGAAACCGCCGCCAGTAGCTTGCCTTGAGGTGTTCAGCAGCCTCTACTTGAGAAGAACTTAGTAAACCGGCGGGGTTGGGTGGATCGTTGGGGACCTGTATATTCCACGGTGTGGGGTGGAGGTAGCTAGGGTGGTTCTGTATCGGGTACATCTTGACGTTTATTGCCGCGTAGGTGAAGCTAGGGTGCTGAAGTGGTGAAACCACGAAGGCGTATACCCTTAAAACCCCATTTTTTCTTTTTTTCCGTTCTGTGCTTTTCTGTGCGTGACTTGGCCCCGGAGGTCCAAGCCTCGTTCCACCTTCGATGCTTGCCTCATGGTCGATAGACAGGTTGGCCGAAGGAGGCGTTGCCGCCATCCTCGACAGTGTCATTAAAAGGTGATTTTGTCGTTTTTGTACTGTCTTTGCCATCTGCGTACATCGGGTGGAGGCATTCTCCAGGCGGTAGGGGTGGTTCACTCTTCCAAGTTCTCCCCTGCCTAACAGATAACTAGCAGCTCCGAGGTCTGTCCGTACAAGAACAAACGAGGTTGAGCTACTTCGGCTGAAGAGAATGCTTCTTCTCATGCACAAGAACAGAACGTCAGGCATCAAAACTGCCAGGGCAATGTCAGCACCGAACCTAAGTTCCATCAAGTTATGCGACTTCGAAGAAAGTCGAAACTTTTGATTAGGTGTCCGCTGTACTCTGTGTCACTTGTTATTCGAAGTCGTCATCTACGTAATTGTGACCAGGAGGCATAATATTATAGGCCGCGTTTAG